GGGCACACCCTAGAGCCGCCCCTAGCCCCTCACAGCCTGGCTTCTGGGTTCTGTATGTAGGCAACTGACTTCTGGCATCTGAGCCAGGTGTGAGCTAGGCTGGAGGCTGGGAGGCAAGGAAAGCTGTTTCCCTGCTGGGTTTCTATCAGCCACAGGATTGGCTGGGTTGTACCCGTCTGAGAGCCTCACATCGTAAGTGTTCACGAAGAAATGATTCTATGTTGCTGTCATTTGTGTGGGCCTACTGTGAGCCAGGAACTGTGCTGATGCATAATTTATATCTGTGGTCTCATTGGGGCACATGGAGGATATTGGCAAACTGTAGAATGCTTTCCCAGAGCCTTCGAGGCCTTGTAAGTTCTGGGTCTGTCATTTCCTTGATGTGCTGTCCTTCCACTTTCTTCTCCCTCCGCAACTCCATTTTCACACCATTTCATTTTATTTTTTAAAGTACTAGGTATTGAACTCAGGGGTGCTCTACTACTGAGTTACACCCCATCCATTTTTATTTTATTTTTTGTGGTATTTTTAAGTTGCTGAGGTTGGCCTCAAACTTGTGATCCTCCCGCCTCAGCCTCCCGAGTATCTGGGATTACAGGTGTGTATCACCACATCCAGATAATGCTTTTTTTTTTTTAATGGTTCTGGGAGTTGAACCTGGGGTTTGCCCATGCTAGGCAAATGCTCTACCAGTGAATTATACCCCCAGCCTCTTACCAGCCTTCTTGTCCCAGAAGTATGTCAAACTCAAATCTATCTCAGGCCCTTTGCACTTGCTGTTTCTTTTTCTTGGAAACTTTCCCCTCTCAATTGTAGGTATAATCGCTTTCTTCTTGTCATTAGCATCTCACTCAAAGGTTACTTTTCAGAGAACACTTCCCTGACTCTACAATCTCACCCTTCCATCCTTCTTATCATTTTTGTCGTATCTACCAGGACAATAAATGATATTACCCGCTCTGTTTCTGTTTCTTGATCTGTAAAATCATGATGAAAATAGGACATGTGGTGAGGGTAACTGAGTACCTGGCACACAGTAAGTGCTCGGTAAATGTTAGCTATTATTTCTTTGGCATGCAGTGATTTACCTTCTCCATGAAACATCGAGATCCAAGAGAGCAAATCTGAGGCTGACTTGGTCACCCCTGAAACTCCAGCACCCAAACAGAGGTTGGCGCATAGTAGGTTCTCAGTAAACATTTTTGAATGACTGAAAGAGGTAGGCAGGATCAGGAGCTCCCACCTTCCAGGGGCTCAGGGTCACACAATCAGAAAGTGGGTGGAGTCAGGATTCAGCCCAGGTCAGTCTGGTTCTAGAGCTCTCACGTGTCCAGAGGCAAATCTGTGCTTGGCCTCACTTCCCCTGTCTGTGGAACATCGTCTAGGTCATCTCTAGGTGTTGACTCCTCAGACTTGGGGAAGGAGGTCTAATATTCTTTAAATCCATTGTCAGGTTCCCCCCTCCTCTTACTTCCCCCCAACTTCCGAGCCAGCTCAGACTGACACGGCCAGCTGGTCCAGGCTTCACAACTGGGCCTCTGTGAAAACCCGGACTGGATAATCTTGTTGTAGGAGGCCAGGGCTCTAGGGGTGGGCCTAGGGCCCGGACGCCCGGAGACTGTGGAAGGAAGGTTAGAGAGGGGCCAAGAGACTTGGAGGGAGGGGCTTAAATTCAGGGGGTGGAGCTAATCCAATTAGAAGGTCCGGTCCAGGGCTCTGGGCCAAGTGTTCGAGTCCTTTGGCGGTTCAGGGGGCGGTGCTAATGGCTCGGGGGCGGGAATAGAACTTTGGCTCCCACACGACTTGGGGGGCGGGGCTAGAAGGCCCGTGGGTGGGTCTAGAGCTAATACACCAGGGCTAAGGACTGGGCTAGAATCAGTTCAGGGAGGAGCTAGTGGATACCTGAGAGGGTTTGAAGCTCTTCTGCCGGGCCCTGGTCTTGCGAGAGGGCTTCTGGGAGATTCAGTAAAAAACTGAGGAGATGGAATGGGGGCTAGAGGAGAGTCTCCCTCCTCCCCATTCTCCGCTCAAAGCTGGGGGCATCGCTTCGGGCTGGGAAGCAGAGAAAGCCCCGCCCCTTTCAGTAGTCTGCATTCCTATTGGCGGAGGAGCCTGCGCGACAGACTCTCATTGGTTCCGAACAGGCGAGGAGGGGGTCTAGAGAGAAAGCACTCAGGTTGTGGGCTGGACCAGACAGTACCTAGGGGGACCCCGGCGCAGCCAATCCTGGCCTAAAGATTCTGTTGCGGGGGACTGGCAGACGGTGTCCCGAGCCCCTTTCTGGACATCCTGGGGGATGACCCCGGTGCCAGGCCCGGCGCCGGCCGCCTGATGCCCGGCGGGCCGAGCTGGGGATGCTGGAACGAAAGGCGTTGCTATGGCAACGGGAGGCAGGGCCTGGGGGGGGGACCGGGCCCGGGCTGGGGCCGGGGGGGCCGGCGGAGGCTGTGGCGGGGCGATGGCGGAACGCGGCCCGGCCTTCTGCGGCCTCTACGATACGTCCTCGCTGCTGCAATACTGCAACGGTGAGACCCCTCCTTAGTTCCAACCCTGGCCTTGACTAGCGCTGGATCCATCTCCTCCGGCCCCAATCTCCTTCTTCGAAGTCTCTGTCCCCTCCCTTGCTGATGATCCCCTTTCTTTCCTTTTGCACGACCCTGACCCTAGAGCAAGGTCCCCATTCCCAAAGCCAGGATGTCCCACCCACTCACCCACTTGGATCTTCCTTTGCTCTGGAGGTGGCTAGAAGAGGGAGGGGGCAGATCCCAAATGAGTCTGTGGTTTGGAAGGAGGGAAGGCTTGGGGGACCTCTGGGCCTGGAAATACACCCTCTGCCTCCCCACCTCAAGCCTCTGGTACCCTCCCCTCTCTCCCTTATGGAGAAACAAACAGATTAGATTAGCGGTGAGGGTGGAATTTGTTGTTGAGTTGAAGGCAGAAGTGTGGGACTGCAGGATGCCAGAGAACTTCTCCATATAGCCCCCAAATCCTAAGGCTGGCCCTCCCACTCCTTAAGACCCCACCCTTCTCCCTAGAAGAAGAGTATGATACCAGAAGGACCATTGTGGGTGTCAGGTCCAGATGAGGGGAGCTGGGGGCAGAGGGGAGGGGAGACATGAGGAGAAGTGGGAAGTGGGGGCTGGTCTTAGCAAAAGAGCTGAGGCCAGGGAAATGGTCAGGAGGGCCAGACGGCTTGAGTCATGGGGGTTGGGATGGGCAGGCCAAGCCTTCAGAATGATGCTGGCTTTTCTGGGTGGGGGCTGAACTGTCAAGGTAAAATTGCTTCTGTTTCACTCAGGGGTCCCTGAGAAGGGACCATCTTCCAGTTTAGAGGTCATTCCTCTGGGAACACTCCCAGATATGGCCAAAGACCATTGGAGTTCAGAGAATCCTGAATGCTCCATTTGTCCTCCTCTGCCCCTCTAAGAGGCAGGATGACAGGGTGTCCAAGCCTGGGCCAACTATGGTTTCTGCCACGGAAAGACTGTGTGTCCATGCACAAGGAACTGCAGCCTCCTGGACTGTAGTCTTCTTCTTCCTTCTCTCCTCCTAAAAGGGGTAGACTACAACTACAGGAGTTACCAAGAGCATTATATACCATAAAATAAGTTAATCCTATTTTGGATTTATTGAGCACCTATCATGAGCCAGGAAACATGTTAAGTGTTTTGCATGAGAAGTGCCTAACACATATAAGCTTGCAATAACAGATACCATTTTCTGTAGTAGTATTAATGATAGATAAGAAGGGGCTCAGCATAGGAATTGATTGGGACTCCCTCTCCCCTGCCGCCTGACCCTTTGCCCATGCCCTTGGTTTTCTAAACCCTTCCCTTGTGGGTTCCAGGCCCTGACAGCTCTCTCCCTCTGACCTCTGGAGGCCCCCACCTTTCTCTGCAGGTTCAGGAATGGATCTAGGAAGTACTGGATGGGGGGCAGGGCAGGCGAGGCTGGGCAGGCGATTGGGCCGCAGAGGGAGGGAGAGAGGGGAGGGACTGAGGGCTGCACTGCAGAGACCAGCGGGCAGGCAGGGCGGCCTAGGGACACAGGATGGTAGGTGCGACCTCCACGCCCCGTTCCTGGTTCCTGTTTTTGCTGCGATCTTGACTTCCAACGGGCTGGGAGACAGGGTCTCCTCGATTGTGGCCAGCAATGAGTCTGGGTATGAGTGGTCTGGGAAGGGGGGCTACTTAGAATCCCCCACTTCGGGAAAATGGGTGAGGTGGGGGGAGATGGAGGTGTCATTTGGCTGCATCCTTGGTTTGAAGAGGAGGGGGAGATCCAAATCATGTGTGTGAAGTACATAGGCAAAATAAAGAAGGGGTGCAGAGGAGGAGTGCTCCAGCTGGGGAAGAGAGGTTGAGGTCATCTGCGCTCATCTCCCTTCCTCTGGTCTCCTGGGTGCCCTGTGTGCTACCTGCAACCCCCAAGTCTGCCACCAGGGCGCGCAGAAGCTCTATCCTTGCAGCTGGAGAACCCCTTGGTGAGGAAGATTGAGGGGGACAAAGCATGACTTTTGGCTTGGAAAGTCTTAGAAACTGTGAGGGAATGTTAGTACCCATAATGGAATATTAATGTCCGTCAGAGAATGTTGGGGATCCGTTCTAGAACGTTGGTGTCACTAGAGAAGGCTGATGTCATCCTTGAAATGTTGATATCACTCAGACATTTAGCATCTTAGTCATAGAATCTTTAAACCAGAGTGAGAGGTTCCCGGATTGGTAGAATTTTCGTAGAGAGAAAGGGACTTCCCCAGGGTCACACTTGCAGGGCGCTGTGTTAAAGAGAGGAGGTGAGGAAGGGCGGGAGAGCCGTGGGGATTTCCTTCCCGCTGCGGAGCCCTGTTCCTGGGCTCATCTCCAGGCATCCCCGCTCCAGGTTGCAGGAGAGGTAGGGAGCGTGGCTGGCCCGGTTTAGACCTGAAAGCCAGGAGAGACGCCTCCGGCGTTGGAGCTCCTGGGTGGCCCGGCAGCCGGTGCTCCCCCTCCTTCCAGATGACAATTTGTCGGGCACGAGCGGCATGGAGGTGGACGACCGCGTGTCGGCGCTGGAGCAGCGGCTGCAGCTGCAGGAAGACGAGCTGGCCGTCCTAAAGGCGGCGCTGGCGGACGCGCTGCGTCGCCTGCGGGCATGCGAAGAACAAGGCGCGGCGCTGCGTGCGAGGGGCACACCTAAGGGTCGGGCGCCCCCGCGCCTAGGCACCACCGCCTCGGGTATCCTGGTTAGGCTGGAGGGTGGAGACGGGAAGGGCCCGGCGCCTGGACCTCACACTCACTCTCTTCTGTCTTTCCAACCCCATCGATCCAGTGTGTCAGCTCTTGAAAGGCCTTCCCACCAGAGCACCCCTCAATGGCTCGGGACCCCCGCGGCGCGTGGGCGGCTATGCAACTTCCCCATCTTCCCCCAAGAAGGAGGCGAACTCCGGGCGCAGGTGAGGCACAGCAACCCGAATCCCCAGCCTCTGCACCACTTTGTGAGATGGAAGATGTTCGTGTAGAGGAGAGATCCAAGTACTCAATTTCCAGTAGAGGGGTGCAGAGAGGCTCAGACCTGCATGAGGCATTCTCCTGCTGGTCTTACAGGTTCTGACCCCAGCACTGTGCTCTTTCCGCAGTGGCCGCCGCTACTTGTCACCAGAGCGCCTYGCCTCGGTGCGTCGCGAGGACCCCCGCAGCCGCACCACATCTTCCAGCAGCAATTGCAGCGCCAAAAAGGAAGGGTAAGTATTGGGGCGGGGTCATGTCACCGAGGGTGGGGCCAGAACCCCAGACAGACAGGAGAATGGATGGAGAATTTAGAGTCAAGCTTCCGGTCACGGCCACGAGATCATAATCTAAAGTGGGGTGAGCTAGTTCAGAACATTGCTTGAGCTGGCTTAGTCAAAATGGCAGGCCTGGAGAGGTGGAGCCAACGTCGAGGGGCGTGGTCCGAGCCTTAGGGACCGAACTGGAACACAGAATGCCGGCTGTCGGGGTCTTCTGGGTGAGCCGGAGAGGAAGTTGGGGAGGAGCCAGGCTCATGGGCGTGACCACTAAGGTAAAAGAGTCCCCTTAGAGACTTGGGGAGGAGTCAGGGCTGACACCCTAGAATTTATGCAGGGAACCAGAGGGTGGAGTGTGGTTGGAATTTGAGGATGTGGCCAGAGTGATAGCCTGAACGGAATCAGAACCTCGGGTGAGAGAGTCAGAGGGGCTGGGACCAGGTGGGCACCTGCCTGATTTCGGGAGCCCGGCACCTAGTGAAATTAGGGGGAACTGTCAGGTGGAAATAGGCGTGACGTTCCGCAGAGCCATAGGGGGCGTGGTCCAACCTCAAGGGGTGGAGCCCACTTGGAGGACTTGAGAGGACTGATCACTGGGACTGGACCCCGTGAAAGTGAACGTGGCCAGACTGCCTGGTGGGGCTAGAGGAGAGTGGCTTAGGGGTTGGGGAAGCTGTCCGTTATCTAGAGATTGAATCAACCCATGGGTACGGTTGGGAGGAGACGGGTAAGGTCGCAACATTGGGCGAGATCAATTCTTGAGAGGCGGGGCTATGCCGAAGATTTGGCGGAGTCACGACGTAGTGGGTGTGGTCAGAGTTTAGAGGCTGGGCTTAGGCAGGACCAGAATTAAAACCCTGAGTTCAATTCACTGAAATAACTGCAACCGCATTATGTGTTAACTTGGCCTAGTGGCGCACGCCCGTAATTCCAGCTAGGATGACAAGTTCGAGGCCAGCCTCAGCAAACCCTATTTCAAAATCAAAAATAAAAAGGTCTGGGGATGTAGCTCAGTGGTTAAACTCCCCCTGGGCTCAATCCCCAGTATTCCCCCCCAAATTGTACTAAACACCACTCCACGTGCTTGCGTGGATTAATTAATTTCATCTTCGCATCTGCTCGGGGAGGTGTAAGAACCCTGACAACCCCCTCTTGAAACGAGGAACCCGTGCAGATGGGCAATAGGCAACTCATTCACACCAATAAAAATAGTCAGAACGGGGGTCTGAGTTCAGGCAGGCGCGCTCCAGCGTTCGAGTTCTCAACCACTCTCCCTCACCCTCAAAAAAGAGGCTGGTGTCGGGACTCCACAGGTCGGGATGTGGGACCCGGCGGCACCCGCGGGCTCCAGGGGTCGGCCGCGGAGGGCGGGGCAGGGTGCGGCGGCGCGGGCGCCTCCTAGGGCCGGAAGCGGCGGAGCCCGACCCGGCTCCACCCCCGGCCCCGAAGCTCCGCCAGCCGCCGCCATGAGTAGCTTTGGAGCCGGGTGAGACCCTCTCGCAGACCCCCTCCTCCCCGCGCTCCCGGGGCTGGGATCCCAGACCGACTCCATCCCTGGGCCCCAGGTCCGAGCGCCTCACCCCTTTCGCCCGCCCACAGAGCGAGTGTGGAGACACGCCCCTTCCCTGCTTCCCTTGCTGCTTGAAGTTTGGGGAGCTGGAGGGCTGGGGGTGGGGAGAGCTGGGGAGCACCGTGCTGTTTAAAAGGGAGGGGTCCCTGGTGACTCCCCTCTTCCAGGATCGCGTCCCTGCCACTTCGTGCTGTGTGATCTTTGGCGATCACTGCCTCTCTGGGCCTGTGTCTTAGGCTCTGCAAGATCAACCGAGCAAAGCACACGGCCTGCAGAGAGGCAGCGCTCCGCTCCTTACTCGCCCCCCCGTTATTCGTCAGAGACCTCCAGCGAGCCGTGGGTGGGGGAGTAGCTCCTGATCTTTTCTGACCTGCCTACAAAAACATTTTTTCTTCTTTTCTGCGTCCTTTCCTGAACAGCAAAACCAAAGAAGCTATCTTCAGCGTGGGTGAGTGGCCAGAACAGGAAGGGATTGCAGGGTGGCAGGCCAGAGCTGGAGGTCATGGGACCTGGCTCCTGGGTCTTTGCTTCTCTGGCCTCAGTTTCTCCACCAAAGGGGGTGGGAATAAGACTGGGGGATGCTGTCCACCCTGACCTCTGGGGGTGTCTTGGCAGAGGATGGCTCCGTCAAAATGTTCCTGAGGGGCCGCCCTGTGCTCATGCTAATCCCAGACGACCTGGCACCCACCTACAGCCTGGACACCCGCTCAGAGCTGCCACCATGCCGGTTCAAGCTGGATTGGGTGTATCCTTTGGCTTTAACCCCTCTCTGGGTGCTAGGCGCCATCAGGGGGAGACAGAAGTCTCCTCCGTTGGTGAAGGACTTCGGCACTTCAGTGGGACAGAGGGACAACAGTATTGAAACTGGGGCTTCCCAGGCCTCTGTGGCTGAGGGTGAGGAAGACCATGGCACCCAAGAGCAGAGGAAAGCAGGTCAGCCCAAAAGGACCTTTTCCGGTTCCTTAGGATGGCAAATGTTTGCTAAGTGCTTTCCAGATGTTGGATCCTCTTCTACCTGTGGGGCAGGGCTTCTAAGTGCGGAGACATGAGAACTCAGAAATCATGAATTAAATAAATAAGATCATTTCACTTAGGAATAAAAGTTGTGGACACCATAACCTGGGGTCCTGTGAGGGGAGCACTGGGGGCTTCTCCGTGGCGGAAAGTACATTTGAGCTGAGAGCTGTACACAGGTCCAGGCAGAGGCCTCAGTAGGTGAAGGACTCTGGCCATCGGGACCTTGATGTGTTTGAGAAACATAAAACGCTGGGAATGGGCAGGAGCCTGGCTTTGGAGCCTGGTAGGAAATGGTTCAAATCCCAGCCCTGCCCTGGCTGGCTGTGAGACCCTGGATAAGTCGTCTTACCTCTCAGTGCTTCAGCTGCCTCTTCTGGAAAATAGGTTTCACCATCTCAGATTTCTAGGACTGAAGTTATGTGGGAAAGTGCTGAGCTCATAGTTTGTGCCCTGTACACAGCGGTTGGTAAAGTAACAGCTAGTCTTTATCAGTCCTTATTACATGACAGGCAAGGTTCTAAGTTCTCCCATGTATAAACACACTGAAGAAGGTTTTTACAACTGGTGGCCCCTAGAGGGGACCACAGGCCTGTCCTGGGAAGTCAGAGCAGGTCTGAAGCAGGCACTCTGACTCTGGGCCTGGAGCTCTTTCCAAAGAGCCCAGGGGCTTAGAATCCATGCTCCAGGAACCCAGTTCCTGCCTCCTTCTCCCTGAGCCTCGGTTTCCTTTCCAGAGGCCTCTGGGTGCCCACAGACTTCTGCACACAGCTGGAAATACCCACAGGAATGCGGCCAAACGGTCCCGTCAGGAGGACTTGATAGACTTGAAAGTTGGCTAAGACTACAGGAGTCCCTGTGGACCTCAGCTTGCCCGACTCTGTGATGACTGCAGGCAGAGCGGCAGGATGGGGCCAGGATGTGTGTTCATTTTGAACATCTAGGACAGAAGGTTGGGGACACAGCAGTGACCACTAACAGTGGCCACCTGCCCTGCTGGCATTCACAGTCCAGTGGGGAATGAACTTATTGGCAGTGACAACCCAGAGTGCCCGAGCCCTGATGGGGTAAGGACAGAGGGAGTCAGCCTGGAGCCAGGGAGGGCTTCCCGGAGGAGGAAGTACAGATGTGAACAGAACAGCCCTGTCTCAGTGCCATGGGCCTCCCTGGACAGTTATGACATAAACCAGATTGTCACCAAGTGTGGTGAGTCCAGCGAGGACCTGAGCCAGAGAGCAGCTCCGAGGAGGTGATAGCCGCGAAGGCTGCGCGAAGAGTGGACCAGGCAAGGGGAAGGTTAATGCCCGGGCCTGGAGGCAGGAGGTCATGACTTTGGCATTTGAAGGAACTCCAAGGTCAGAGAGCAAGGAACACAGCAGCCCTGAGGAGACCGGGAGGGGCCCTGGGAGACCACAGTCATCAACAGGGGGAGACAGTGAACTCATGGTGTCCACAGGGTGCCAGGTCCTGACCTGGGCACAGCGGATACTCAGTGAGCAACACAGACAGATCCCAGCCCTCCTGGAGAGTCACTCTAGATGATGACGTGGAGTGCAGAGTGCATTGGAGATGGGGAGAGGGTGGGTGGCGTTGCACTTTCGAATAGAATGGGCAGGAAGACCCTCTTCAGGAGCTGACAGTTGAGGGGACGGAGAGCCGAAGGAGAAGGGTACCCAGGTTGTGGGATCAGCAAGTGCAAAGGCCCTGAGGTGAGAACAGGGAGGAAGCTAGTGTGAGTGGAACTGGGCATGTGGGAGGGGAGCAAGGAATTGGGGCCCAACTGGGCTAGGCCTGGACCCTTTTTTTTTTTTTGGTACTGGGGATTGACCACAGGGGTGCTTGACCACTGAGCCACATGGCCAGCCCTTTGTATTTGAGACAGAGCCTTGCTAGGTTGCTTAGGGTCTTGCTAAGTTGCAGATACTGGCCCCAAACTTGTGATCCTCTTACTTCAGTCTCCCAAACCACTGGGATTACAGGTGTGTGCCACCGTGCCTGGCTGTTAGGGGTTTTCATAGGATTCCCGTTGTGGATTCAGGGGGGTGGGGCTTCGTTTTCCATGCACCAATTGCTATAAACTTGGTGACTTAAAATAACAGAAGAAAAAAAAATTTTTTTTCTGACAGTTCTAGAGCCCAGAGTTCAAAATCAATGTGTTGGCAGGGCACCCACACCCCTTCCAGAAGGTTTGGGAAAAATCTGTCCCTTGTCACCTCTTGGCTTCAGGTGGCTGCCAGCCATCCTTGGGCTCCTTGGCTTGTAGCCTCCTCACCCCAATCTCATCTTCACGTTGCTGCCTTCCACCCCTACCCCATATCTCTGTTTTCCCCTCTGTGACTTACAAGGACACTGGTCGGATTTCAGGTCCACCTAACACCCAGATGATCTCATCCAGAAATACCTAATTACATCTGCAAAGACCCATTTTTCCATATAAGGTCATAATCACAGGTTCCAGGGGCTAAACACCGGGCCTATTTTTTGGGGGGAGACCATCATTGAGCTCATTCCAGGGGTGGGAGTGGAGGCGGGAGAACCGGATCCCGCTGGCCCTGGGTCCGGGGCCAGCACACGGCGCACGCGCTCCTTAACAGGCTGAGCTATGGCTACCGTGGCCGCGACTGCAGGGCCAACCTTCACCTGCTGCCCACGGGGGAGATCGTGTACTTCGTGGCCTCCGTGGCCGTGCTGTACAGCGTGGAGGAGCAGAGGCAGCGGCACTACCTGGGACACAATGACGACATCAAATGGTGAGCGGCTGCGGCGGAGGTCAGCCCCACCCGCTCCTGGGCCACTTTCCACACCGCTGCCTCCTGCCCCCGGGGTGTGGGGCCGGGCAGAGCCATTCTGCAAGCTGCCAGCGGCCCTGAGGCGGGTTTCAGTGGAAAAATGTAGAGGGGTGATTAATGTTTCAAGGGTGGATGACTTCATTCAGTGCCTGGATTTTTTTTTTTTAAATTGTTTTTTTCACTTGTTTATTTATTTATTTATTTTTTGTATGTGGTGCTGAGGATCAAACCCAGGGTCTCGCCTGTGTGAGGTGAGCGCTCTGCCGCTGAGCCACAACCCCAGCCCCAGTGCCTGGATTTTTTTTCCTCTTCTTTTGAAAAGCCCAAACTGATACAGCAGTCGGAGGTTTGGAGCCCGAGGCGCCTGCTTAAATCTTTGTGTTTTCCTGGCCACTATTTTTAGTCCGGACCTGAGCCCCCTGGGGCATTGGAGTTACAGACTCAGGCCTGAGTCTCCCTTCTAATATCCCTTTATTGCTTTTGAAGGACTAAATCAATGTTTTATCGACTAAATAACTCAATTAACTAGTTTGCGGAATGCATAGCCAGGCATGGTGACTGTGGCCTGCTGCAGGAGGGTCCTGGTCCCTGGGAGCCCTTATGTCTGTCCATTTGTCCCCTCTCCCCTCAGCCTGGCTGTCCACCCAGATATGGTCACCATCGCCACAGGACAGGTGGCAGGCACTACCAAGGAGGGGAAGGTAAGGGAGCCAGGAGGAGAGAGGATGGGACACAGCCAGGGCCCCCAGGTAACAAGCTTCTCTCTCTACCCTGCAGCTGCTGCCACCTCATGTGCGCATCTGGGACTCGGTATCCCTGTCCACCTTACATGTGCTGGGCCTAGGGGTGTTTGACCGAGCCGTGTGCTGTGTGGGCTTCTCCAAATCTGTAAGTCCTTGGCCCACCCTGACCCACCCAAGAGCAGGTCAAGGGCCTGTACTTTTCTGCCTGCTCCCTGCCCCATGTAGGCCAAGCCCCCAGTATGATGTCCCCGAGGTGGGCCACGAATGCCAGTCTCTGGGACCCAGAGGCTGCCCAGTTCCCCATCTTTTTTTTTTTTTTTTTTTAATATTTATTTTTTAGTTCTCGGCGGACACAACATCTTTGTTGGTATGTGGTGCTGAGGATCGAACCCGGGCCGCACGCATGCCAGGCGAGCGCGCTATCGCTTGAGCCACATCCCCAGCCCCCAGTTCCCCATCTTTAGGCAAGCACGCAGCCTGGTTCGCTGCAGACCCTCGGCGTCTCCCTGTGGATCAGGTGGTGCCTGTTCTCATTCTCTGGAGGATCTGACCTCTTGGCCATTTTGGGCCTAGTGTGGCTCCCTGGTGCCCAGATAAGCCCAGAAAGCAAGAGTAAGCCCTGAGGAATTTGTAGAGCAACTGGACATTACGTAATTCCCAAGCATGTGAGGGATGGGCTTTTTAAAAGTCATATTTTACATTTTTATCATAACTTTCAGAAGCATTGGTCTGCGATGGATTGGGGAGTGAAAAACAAGCCTTCCCCCCACAGATAGGTTAAGGAGCTTGGGATCACAGCTACAGATTTCTTGAGGCCCAAGGACACATTTCAGAGTTTCAGAACAGAAAAGCTCTACTGAAGCCAAAGCATGGCTGGGGGGTGGAGGGAAGACCCCAAAACTCTAAGCAACTCTGACAGTGCAAAATTAACAAGAGGTACAGAAAAAACCAACTTCTACCAACGGTCCTAATGGTTGGACTTCAAAAGTCCTGCAGTTTGCAAACACATTTTAGATGGTATCAGCCAGGAGTCCCTGCCCTGCAGGCGGGCTGCAGGGAAATCCAAGCTAGGGACCAGTCATTTCAAAAGGCCAATTATAAAAACCCTTTGAGAGACTGAGTGGCAGAGCACTTGCCCCGTGTGCAGGAAGCCCTGGGTTCAATCCGCAACACCACAAAGATGCTTTTCGGGTCCCTAATGGGGGAGTATTTTAGTGTGTCTCATGCACGGGCTGGAGCCTTTGAGGGTCTAAAACAGGCCTGCGGATGCCCCAGGGTCACCCTGACCTGCCTGTCCCCCTCTGTAGAATGGAGGCAGCCTGCTGTGTGCTGTGGACGAGTCCAACGATCACATGCTCTCCGTGTGGGACTGGGCCAAGGAGGCCAAGGTGGTGGATAGCAAGGTGGGGAGACCATTACCCCCTCCCCGGGGGTGCCCCTAGGGGACATGTCCATCCTGGGAGTTAGGAGTTTGGCATCAGGTAAATTTATGTCTAAGGCCTGACTTTGCCATTTGCTGGTCATGTGACTTTGAGCAAGGGACTTACCCTCTCTGAGCCTCAGTGGCCTCATCTGTAGAATGGAGATAAAGGTAGCGTCCTCCTCCCAGGGCCCTAGTGAGGAAGTTGGGACACTGTGTGGGTGGAGCAGGCCCCCACAGAGGGCAGTATGAGATGGGCCCCGACTAGGAGAGGTCCTGTCCTGCCCAAGATGGACCTTGATTGGCATCTTTGGGCAATGCCTATTTTGTAGGTGACTCATGACAGGGAAAGAGATAATTGCCCATGGTTACCTGCCCAGGCTGGGGGGCAGGAAAACTGGGTTCAAGATTGGGCTTGCTGCCTGGGGAAGGCGATATGGTTGAGAGGCTGAGTTCTGGAGTCAGCCTGAGTGAGTTGGATTCCAGACACTTCTCTAGCTGTGCGGCTTTAGGCAAGCAGCTTGCCCTCTCTGAGCCTCATGTCTTCATCTGTAATGGGGGTTGGGGTGCTAGTAGATCTTGTCCCCCAGAGTGCTCTGAGGATTGAATGAGTTAGTGGATGGAACCAGCTTAGCAAAGTGCTTAGTCCAGGGCAGAGGCTCTCAAAGTGTCAGCCAGGAAGATGAGAATGCTTCTCTGCCTGCTCCTGCCTCCTGCACTTGAGTTTGCCATGTAGGGAAGGTAGGGGCAAGTGGGTACGCACCGCACAGCCCTCACAGCTGTGTGGGGAGCTCCTGTGGGGGTGGGATGGTTCCCCTGGAGGCTGCGAGATGTTCATTCGGATTCTTCCCCACCCCACAAAGTGCTCCAACGAGGCTGTGCTGGTGGCCACCTTCCACCCCACCGACCCCAGCCTGCTCATCACCTGCGGGAAATCCCACGTCTACTTCTGGACCCTGGAGGGCGGCAGCCTGAGCAAGAGGCAGGGCCTCTTTGAGGTGAGTGCCAGGGGTGCAGGGACCAGCTGGCCCTGAGAGGCAGGCAGGGTAGCCAGGCAGACACCCCAACAGCCCCGAGGGTCCCAGAGGCTTGGAAGTTCGGGATGCTGAGCTCTTGCAGCAGGGGCCTCCAGACCATGGCGGGGTGGGGTGGGGGCTGCTGAATGCCGGAGCCATGAGGATTCAATGGGACGGGGAACATAATGGCTCCTAGGGGACAGTGAATCTCCATAAACGGGTCCTACGCTAGTCTCTATGGATGGAGTGGTCGGAGGCTGAGAGACACCAGCTGAGTCTGAGCAGGAAGCAGAAGGGCCAGGAGGGAGGATGGGGGGGCCTTTCTGTGCCCAGAAGGAGCGCTCTAAGGGCACCAGGCACAGCCGGAGACATGGAGAAGAAGGTGGGCAGAGGCAGGAGGGGACCCAGAGGAGGCAGGACAGGCAGGAGGCCGGACGGACTGCAGACAGAGATGGGGAGACCGGTCAGGGAGCAGAATGGGAGGCAGGAAGGGGCCCAAGTGCCCAAGGGAGTCCTGCGGTCATTACTCCAGAGATCTGAGCGCTTCCAGGTGGGCGATGGGATACCCCGCCCGGGATCGCACACCCAGAAGCATGGTGGGGACCCCGGGGACCACATTTCTGGATGTAGGTGACCTCCCTGCCTCAGCCACGCTGACACCTACCCCTCGTTCTCCCCCTTAGAAACACGAGAAACCAAAGTACGTGTTGTGCGTGACCTTTTTGGAGGGTGGTGACGTGGTCACTGGAGACTCCGGGGGGAACCTCTATGTCTGGGGCAAAGGTCAGTATCACCCCATCTGTGTGGTCCCCAACCCAGTTCCCTGTCACCCCGTGCTCTGCCTCCTTTCTTTAACCCTGCTCATGGGGAATGAGTGACATGGCGGGGGAGCCTTTCCATCCAGTCCAGCGCCCTCCGAGGCTCAGCCCTGATAGCCCACCTCCAGGAAATCCTGCAGATTCCCCCGGCCTCGTCCTCCGAAAATCCCATATGAGGGGCCAAGTCTGAACCTTGAACTCAGTTGTAGATGGAGGCGTGAATGGATGCACGGTGGGTGGGTGGATGGTGGGTGCGCAGAGGCTTTGTCCCAGTCTGCGGATCAGTGGATGAATGAAGGGGTTGTCCCAGGGAACGAGGGGAAGGATGAGTAGGTGCGTCTATGGACCTACTTGACAGTTGGGTGCTTGGGAGTCCATGGCCATACCACCCAAATGCACCTGATCCTGTCTGAACATTCAGATAAATGAGTGGCCCTCGAGCTAGTGGATGGGCATGTTAATTAGTGACTTGGCCTCCTCCCAGATGGTGTGTCTGTAAAATGGTGCAGGAATGTGTGGGTGCCTGGATGGCCGTTCAGCCGTTGGATGAGGGTGTTGAAGCAGAGATTGTTCCGGGGCAGGGGATGTGGCACAGTGGGACGGCGCTTGCCTGGAACTCTCAAGGCCTCGGTTCCAGAACCACAAAAACAAGAACAAAATAAGAGAGCAGATGTTCCAGGTGGGCAAGGTGCTATCCCCCTGTAGCCTCAGCCAACTGGGAGGCTTAGATGGGAGGATTTTTTTGGGGGGTGAGATGGGGATTGAACCCAGGGCCTCTTAACCACTGAGCCACACCCCAGACCTTTTTAGGTTTATTTTGGGCAGGTCTTACCCACTTGTCCGGGCTGGCTTGGAACTCACGATCCTCCAGCCTCAGCCTCCCAAGTAGCTGGGATTACAGGTGTGCATCACTGTGCCTCGTCAAAAAAAAATTAAATTAATCAATGAGTTGTCCTGGTCGGGGTTCAAGGGGTGAATAAATTTTGTCTGGCTAAGTGGGTGAATAAAAGAATGAATGGGTTATCACTGTCAGTGGAAAACATGAAAGAAGCAAGTTTTTGGCCTGGGTACATTTGCTTTTCCATACATTATACTTTTCATTTAGGACTGTGCTGAGAATTATTCACATTTCACAGATGAAAACAATAGGCTCAGAGAAGTGCAGCGACCCAGCAGATGGCCGAGCTGGGCAGCCAGGGCACTTGGTCTCTAAGGTTCCTCCCTTTTCTTTTCCATTGTCACTCTGCTCTGCTCTTGGCCTATAGGAAATGGGCCTGAACCAGGCATTGCTCTGTGACCTCCAGTAAAGTCTTTCCCTCTCTGAGCTTCAGATTGCCTGTCTGTAAGCCAACTGAGAGACAAGGATTATCTTCAAGTGCCACTTCTGCTGACTTGGGGGTGCTTGGTCCCTGGTGTGGTTACCCCATCAGGGCTGTGCAACGGGAGGGAAGTTGGTTTAGGAGCTGGGACAGCCTGGGTTCAGGTCCCAGAGGAGTAGTGTACACTCTGTGTGGCCTTGGGAGAGTCATATCCTCCTAGGACTCACTTGCCACCTCTATAAAATGGGTACAATGTCACTACCTCCCTATAGCGTTATTCTGAACTTCCCAATGGAGTCTGGTACATCTGCACACACCCAGGTCCATCACCAGGCCTGTCCTGCAGAGCTTCCGAGTTGATGGATGGGTGGAAGAGGAGACACCCCTGAGGCTTGGGGGAAAGGGAAGAGCTGGGTGTCCTTCCTTCCCCACCACAGCCTCCTCCCTGTCTCAAGCCTTACCCCCTCCAGTTCAGATTGTTCCAGAAGCAAATGCAAAATGCAAAATGTGACCTGCCTCCCCTCCAGGGCTCCCTCACGCTCCCTCACGCTCTGCCCTGCCTCCTCCTGTCCCCATGCTCTGGCTTTTGTGTGTATGCGCAGTCCCCCCAGACTTCTCCCAGGTCCCTAGATAGTGCCTGCTCTTGCTGCTCTCTGCCTTCATAACACAAGGCTGCTCTTCCCGTCTGGAACATTCCTTTTGTCCCAGCAACTTCCACTCAGCCTTGAGGTCTTTGCTCAGCCAGCACTACCAGTCCACTGATTGGCAGTGGGTCCCTCTCTGCTACTGAACTGTGATGGGAACTGGGTGGGTGATGGGTGGATGGGTAGCTCGGTAGGCAGCCAGGCGGCTGGATGGATGAGAATGAAGGATGGAGGGAGGGTAGAAGGAAGGGTGGATGGACCTGTAGAGGGATCAGTGATGACGAGGTGGGAGGTGGTCAATGCGTGGATGGTGGCTAGGTAGTTGGATGGACAGACGGGCAGATTGGCGCGTGGATGACAGCGGGTAGGCACCGGAGTCCATGGGCGGCAGGTGGGTTGTGGGTGGTGGTGGGGGGATGGAAAGCTGGAGAACTGGCGGGAGTTTTTTCAGTCCCTCTCGGGTCAGCCCAGGGCAGCTTCCCCGCTGCGTCACCCCTGCAGGTGGAAACCGCATCACACAGGCCGTGCTGGGTGCGCACGATGGCGGCGTGTTCGGGCTCTGCGCCCTGCGGGATGGGACGCTGGTGTCCGGAGGGGGCCGCGATCGGCGGCTGGTCCTCTGGGGCTCTGACTACAGCAAGCTGCAGGAGGTGGAGGTGAGGAGGGGGGCGCACGGGGCGGCGGGGAGGCCACACCGAGCAGCGCTCCTGGCGCAGCATGCCCCCCTCCCCCCTGCGTCCTATGCCATCTGCCCACCCAGGTCCCTGAGGACTTCGGCCCTGTGCGCACCGTGGCAGAAGGCCGGGGGGACACGCTGTACGTGGGGACCACCCGCAACTCCATCCTGCAGGGCTCCCTGCATACCGGCTTCTCGCTGCTCGTGCAGGTGAGCGCCTCCCTCCGCGGCTGCGGCTCTGGTCCTCCCGCCAGTGTCCCCTCATCTGACCGCCGCCGTCCCTTCTCCTATAGCCTGACAAACTTCACCTACCGTCCTTTGACCTGTCCCCCCTCACAAACTCACCCCGCCCTGGCCCTGACCCAGGACTCCCCAGAACCACCTGCGATACAGCTGCCAAAGGTACCCAGCACCCCGAGCAACTGCTGCCACCTGCCCTTATGATTGGGGGTGGCATCTTCCTGTCTGGTTAGTAAGTTCCCTGGCAGTTGTCACACTGTCACAAAGGCCACACACCTGCTGTGGTTCCAGGATGTGGCCCTCCTGGGATCTGATTTCTTCTTGCAGCTCAAATGGCCATTCCTTCCTTTCTGGGGTGCCACACCCCTGCCCCACCCAACTGAAAACCTTCCACCCAGGAGGCAATATAGTAGAGTGGTTAGGAGCATGAATTCTGGGGGGGACTGCCTGGGTGTGAATCACAGCCCCATTCATTAGCTGTGTGATATTGGACAAGTGAGTAACCTCTCTGTGTCTGTAAAATGAGGAGAATAGCAGAACCAAATGCATAGGGCTTGGGAGGATTCTGTGAGTCTCTTCATATGCAGCATTTAGAATGGTGCCTGACACAGAGTAAGTGCTCCCAGGGTCTTGACTACCCTTCCTCCTTGTTTAGGGGTCCCCCCATCCTTCACCTGTTCCCCAAATTTTCCCACAGATAGTCTAGCTGAAGTCTGTGCTGCTGCATTTAGGTCCCCCTCTGGCCTTGGTTTCCATATGAAGAAAATGAAGGAAAGCAAGGGCTGCAGGGATTTTTCTAGATATCCCAAGACCAGAAGGACTCTGGAAACCTCTAATAATACTACTTATGTTAGCTACTGTAATTATTAATATGTGTGAATATAACTAATTGTGTGATTATCAGCCATGTCAATTATTACCATTATGATTATTGTCATTATTAATATTCACTTATGTTTTATGTGATTAATAATACTAGCTACTCCCATTTTGTGGGCTGGGCACAGCTCTGAGCTAGACTTAGTGTTTTTTTGTTCTTGTTTTTTTTTTTTTTTAATTTTTTTTAGTTGGACATAATACCTTTAAGTTATTCATTCATTTTTATGCGGTGCTGAGAATCAGACCCAGAGCCTCGAACACGCTGGGCAACCGCTCTGCCACTGAGCCCCAGCCCAGCCCCATCCATGACCTGAGTAAACTCAGTAACGCCTGCTGTGAGGCACACAGAGATTGGCCCCATTTTACAGAAGATAAAACTGAGACTCAAAGAGAAGTTCGTCCCTCAATGACTGGCTACCAGTTAGTAGGACAGGGCTGAGGTCCCCAGGCTGGGACCCTCCATGAGGCCTGGGCTCTGGGTGGCTCCAGGAGGACTTCAGGAGGCCCTTCCCAGGCCCATGGAGCTGGAGCCCCAGGTGTGTGTCCAGGGTGCGTGCAGCTGGAGGTGCCAGGCTCTGAGCTCCACTCTCTCCTGCCTCCTGTTGGGCAAAGAGAAAGGATTCACCCCAAGTCACACTGGGGCAGGAGTCATCTGGTCATGGGGGAAGGTCGTGCTGGGGAAAGGTCTCTCTGAGTCACCTGGACAGGTGAGCTGCTGGGCTGGTCCAACACTCCTTCCTGGCACCAGGCGTGGGTATGGAAGGCCAGGATCCCAGTCTCCATTGTGCTCTCTCTTTCCTGCAGGGCCATGTGGAAGAGCTGTGGGGCCTGGCCACACACCCCACCCGTGCACAGTTTGTGACCTGCGGGCAGGATAAGCTGGTGCATCTGTGGAGCTCAGAGTCTCATCAGCCACTGTGGAGCAGGCTCATAGAGGTGAGGGGATAGGGGCCCGGATGGACCCTTCTACCGAACCCCCCATTCCACGCCTCATGGCTCAGTGCATCGGGGAGAGACCACACGGGTCTCTTTAAGCAGAGGGTATTTAATGTAGGGATTGGGTGCTTACAGACTCCCTCTGGTGGGGCTGGAGAAGCCAGTTCTGCATGGAATGAAGCCCAGAGCTGACGAAGGCGAAGGGAAACTGGCAACAGTCAGAACAGTGCGGAGTCAGCAATCACTGAGCTCAAGATCATGTTGGGGGCCGGGCGTGGTGGCGCACGCTTGTAATCCGAGCAACTCGGAAGACCTAGGCAGCCAGCCTCAGCAATTCAGCAAGGCTGTAACAACCTAGTGAGACCCTGTTTCAAATCTTTAAAAAGGGTTGGGGATGTGGCTCAGTGGTGAGTACTCTTGGGTTGAATCCCTGGTACCAAAAAAAAAAAAAGAACTGTCGAGACAGGAGGTGCGGCTCAGTGGTAGAACTCTCGCCTCACCTTCAGTAATCCCTGGGTTCGGTCCCCAGGACTGCAGAACCACACCAGACCAAACCAGGAACATTCTGTCATCACTCCAGGAGCTGGGAAGCTGCCACCAGCCCACTGCAGCTGGTGACTCCAGAGCTAACCTGTCCTTGATAACCACTGGCCACCCATAGCTAGTCCAACTTAAACTAATTAAAAGTAATTAAAAGTGCAAATAGAATTAAACTTAATTCCTTAGTTGCATTAGTCACATTTCAAGAGCTCGGTCATCTCATATGGTTAGTGGCTACCATATTGGAAAGAGCAAGAAAGAACATCTCTGAGGCTGGGATTGTGGCTCAGTGGTAGAGCGCTCGTCTAGCATGTGCGAGGCCCTGAGTTTGATCCTCAGCACCACATAAAAATAAATAAATAAAAAAGATATTGTGTCCAATGATAATTAAGAAATAAATATTTTTTTTTAAAAAAAAGAACATCCATGCTGTCACAAGGTCCTTTTGGACTGTATCATGTTAGATCTACTCAGTGCAGGCTAGATTAGCCAAAAACAGATATGCTCCGTTCCTGCCTTTCAGTGTGCTCAAGGCGAGTGACTGCACCTGGGGTATGAGTACAGCAAATCCCATTGCTTTCATGACCCAACTGGTCAGCAGCATGGCAGAAGAAGAACTCTGCCTTCTGCCTTTCAGAACCTGCAAAAATGCAATGGATTAGCTGGACATGGTGGTTCATGCTTGTAATCCAGGGACTCAGGAGGCTGAGGCAGGAGGATCACAAGTTCAAGGCCAGCATCAGCAATTTAGGGAGAACCTCAGAGATTTAGAAAGACCCTGTCTCAAAAAAATAAAGGGTTGAGGTCGGTAGCTCAGTGTAGAGCTCTCATCTAGCATGTGCAAGTCCCTGGGTTCGATCCTCGGCACTACATAAAAATAAATAAATAAAATGAAAGGTATTATGTCCATCTACAACTAAAAAAAAAATTAAAAATAAAAGGATATAGCTGTATGGTAAAGCACCCCTGAGGTTCAATCCTCAGACCCCCACAAAAAAAGAGCAATGGATTGTCAGACCGAAATCTCAGCTGAATTCTACCTGCAAATGATTTGGAAACATGCCGTTTTTTCGCTCCCTGCCTATGCAGGATGAGAAGACATGAAGAAGGAAGGAGGTCAGCTTACTGTATCCCCAACACTGTCCTGTGAGGCTTTTCTTCTAGAATCCTTCCAGGGTTTCCATGGTCCTGGAACACTGTGCCCTTAGAACTGCTGGGAGTGGAGGATAACACGTACCCGGTCATTGTTAGGGACGTGTAATATAATCTTCATCTCGGCTATCTTAATCAAGCACCTACTATATGCCAAGCCCTCCCCCAAACCTTTCAGAGCAGTAGGGATGATAGATCCCCACTTAGAAACAGGTTCAGAAAAGCAAAATTACTTGCCCAACATCATGGTGTAGTTGTAGGCGTAGCTAATCTTGATTGAGAGCTTAGTGTAGGCCATCTTATTTACTAGCTTGCCATTTTAAGGACTTTGCAGCTTGTTTATAATGATTCTGGAAAGTGTGTATTGGTGATCTCTATTTGCCAGATGAAGAAGTCAAGGCTTGGACAGGGAAAGTTATTTGGTGTCACTCACAGACAGTGTTGGAGTCACAGAGTGAACACAGATCTAACTTGACTCCATGCTGCTTTTTTGCCCATGAATCAACCAAATGTCCCCTAAATAAAAATTAAAAATTAAAACAGCCCATGCTGATAAAGATGTGGGGAAATAGGCACTCAGACACAACTGGTGGTAAGCTGATATACTTTTATGGAAGGCAAGTTGGCATTATACATCAAAAACCTTAAAAATATGAGAACCTTTTGTCCTAACAGTCCCACTTCTAGGAACTCACCTAAGGAAGTCACCTTGGATGAATAAAAGCTGTGGGAATATAGAACAGGAGGAAAAAAGGATCAGGAGTCAGTAGTGACTGGAGTAATGTTTTCTGCCCCGGCTGCCGTGCTCTAGGAAGGGGAATGGTTTCCAGGGCATCTGGCGCAGTGGGTCCTGGAAGGCAGGAAAGGGAGGCGAGAACCCTCATGTCAGGCTGAGGACTCCAACTCTGAGCCCTGCCTTTTCTCTTCCTTCTCAGGACCCCGCGCGCTCAGCTGGCTTCCATCCCAGTGGCTCTGTCCTAGCGGTGGGCACAGTGACTGGCAGGTAAAGCTGAACATTTGGGGAGGCTTCTCCAGACCGCCCCACACCCTTATCTTCTACCCCAAAGTCCATAGACATGTTAATTAGGCGCTCCCTACATTCTTTTGGAGTCAGCCTTTCTTTCCTACATCTCTGCTGGGCCCTCTGATCCCTCCCGGGACCCCAGGCATTGCTGTCCCTCTGCACCATCAGCTCACCCCTCCCCCACCATGGCTTCTCCTTAAAGATGGCTGCTGCTGGACACCGAGACCCATGACCTGGTGGCTATCCATACAGATGGCAATGAACAGATCTCAGTGGTCAGCTTCTCCCCAGGTAAGGCGCTGCCCTGGGACCCTGGAGAGGCAGGGCCTGGGGACACAGGCTCAGTGTTAGGGAAGCAGGTGGAGCAGGTGGAGCCGGTGCCTCCTAACTTGGAAGGGATGATAATGGGTGGGGCCTGGGACTGTCGAGGAGGGGCTGAATCTGGGAGAGGAGGGGGCAGAGCCTGGGTCCCTCCTCATAGCCCCTCCCCTCCCCCAGACGGGGCGTACCTGGCCGTGGGCTCCCACGACAACTTGGTGTACGTGTACACGGTGGACCAGGGCGGCCGCAAGGTCAGCCGCCTGGGCAAGTGCTCGGTGAGTGGGCAGTGGCCCCAGCCTGCGCCGCCACCCCGCCCACAGGGTGCAGAATTAACCACTTTTCTACCCCAAGGGATCACAGCTTCAGCTCTCAACTGACTTTGCCCGGACCACCTCGAGGAGCCTTAGCCCGCCAGCGCACCCCTCCTGTCTTCTGAGCTCTCCCCCTCGTGTGGCCCCGCCCCAAGTCCCGCCCCCTTTGTGGCCCCGCCCCTCATTCCTCTGCGGAACGTCTGTGTGGCCCCACCCCCTGCATTCGAAGTCCGCGGATCTAGCTCTGCCCACTTAATCCTAATTGGCGTTGTCTTCTAAGCGCATTTTGTCAGCCCCGCCCATTGGAGTCTGGCCCCGCCCACGGCGGTCTGACCCCGCCTCCCATGCTCGGGAGCCCATATCCCTCCCTGGCCCCTTGTGTTCTCACCCTCCCTCTGTATTTTGCCCTTCCTACTCTAATTCTGCCCCCTGTCCCTGGTTCTGCCCTCTCCCGCTCTGACCGCCCCTTGTGTCCCCCACAGGGACACTCCAGTTTTATCACCCACCTGGACTGGGCCCAGGACAGCAGCTGCTTTGTTACCAACTCCGGAGACTACGAGATTCTGTACTGTGAGTTCCCTGGGACCCAGAGTCCTTCCTTCCTCGGCCTGTTGGTCCGCGAGTGTGATTCGCATAGGTCTCGAAGCGGGTAGGAGGAGGCAGGGGCTTCGGGTCTCTCTCTGGCTGTCATTCAGGGGATGTTCTGATTTGGAACTCAGGAGCCCCTGCATTGGATTTCCTCTCTGATTGAATGGGCAGGTGCAGGTCCTTAAGCAGATGTCCCTGCTCTGGCTTTGAGGGGTCTGAACCCAGAGTCTAGCCCTCGGCCTGTCCAGAGAGGTGGCGTGAGCCGGGGACCTTGACCTGGTCTGAGTGCCTACTGTCTGTGAAGTGGATGGGTTTGGCCACAGTTCTTCTGCCCTGAACACCTCCTAAAATTTCTCCCCAGGGGACCCTGCCACCTGTAAGCAGATCACCAATGCAGACACCATGAGGAATGTGGAATGGGACACAGCTACGTGTGTCCTAGGGTTTGGGGTGTTTGGTAAGTTGTGGAAAAGGAGGGTCCCACTGAGGACACAAGGCCCAAGAAGCAGGCCAGACTGGTGCTTCCCCTGCCTCCCGTGGGCTACCTCCTTTCCCTTGTGTGGGCAGTGTTTGTGTAAAATGAAAGGCAGAGTGAGCTGAGACCAGATGGGTGGTAGCCCTGGACCAGAGAGAGCCTCCCGCCAGCGCCCTGGCCCCCTGTTCATTTAGACCCTGATGCAGTCCATACGGACTGCCTGAGCACCTCTGGGCTGCCCCTGGCCTGGGCCGTGACCGCAGCAGCCTCAGCCCTGCTCTCCTGAGCTCACAGTCCAGTGAGGGAGACACACTTGTCCCCAGACGGGGATCACCCGGATTAGGTAGTGCTGCAAACTGAACTGGGGTGGGGAGGTGGCTAGTCTGGGGGGGTTGGAGAGGGCTTCATGGAGGAAGAGACAGTTGAGCTAGGACCTGGAGGACGGAGAGGAGGTGGGAGATGGAGAACAGTCTGTAGGCAGGGCACAGCATGTGCAGAAGCCCAAAGGTGACAGAGAACTTGACACTGGAGAAACGCAGGAAGGTAGAGCAGCTAAATCATTGCGGAGTTCAAGGGGAACGTTGCTGAGGGATGAGGGAGGAGCAGTGGGTGGGGCTGGGTAGGCAGAGCCCAGAGGGTCAAGGCTTTCTCCTGAGACCACCAGGGAGCCATGGAAAGATTTTGAGCTGTAGAGGGACAGAGTCAGATTTGTCCCTTCAAAGGATAATTTGACTCTAATCCTCGATAGAGACCGTGTATATGGGTAGAGGATAGGGGGGTAGAGGATAAGGTGTGGGGGGGCTGCTGTTCTTGGGAGTCCCTGGCCCCAGCTGACATCTTACCACTGCTCCCCATCTTGTCCAAAGGGATCTGGTCAGAGGGGGCTGATGGCACTGACATCAACGCCGTGGCCCGTTCCCATGATGGCAAGTTGCTGGCTTCGGCTGATGACTTTGGCAAGGTCCACCTGTTCAACTACCCCTGCTGTCAGCCCCGAGTGAGTCCCTCTGGGTTCCGTGGGGCCTGGGGTAGCAAACAGAGTTGGGGGGAAGATTCAGCAGGTTCTGAGTTGCCAAGTATGGCCTCTGAATTTGCTATCCTCCTGCCTCAGCCTCCCTTGTAGCTGGGATTAAGGCATGTGTCACCCACCTGGTTAAAGAGCCCTTCTTAACCTGAAAGTCAGTGAACTTTAGGGCTGAAGATGTGGCTCGTTAAGGTTCTGAGCATCTGTAGTTCTGGCATCTTCGGTTCTTTTCTCCTTGTTAACTCAGCAAATAATGAGCACCTACTTTGTGCCTGGGCAAAGGGGATATATCACTGAGCAAGACAACACGGTCACAGCCCTTATGAAGCTGACAGTCTAAGTGGCATGATGGTCCCAACATGATGCTCTAGGTTATTTAGATTTCCCAGCAGTCCTAGGATGAGGACCAATCTCCAGCCCCACAGGACCAAACAGGTGGTGAGAGTGATGGCTTGAGGCCGGGGAGCTGTTTACTCCCCAGTTTTAATGAAAGCTGGTTCTCTGCAGCCGCGTCTTACATGGTTTTAAAAGAGGCCAGAAATCAGGATTTTAATTTTAATTTTCTCAATTTTCCAATAATGTCCACAACTATGTTTCTAAAAACACTGAGTCACATTCAACTCATCCACAAGCCACCAGCAGCTAACCTGTGTCTAATCTAAGACCGGACATCGTTACTTTTTATGTTCACTGGCCCTAAGAAAAAATCTTGTTCCAACATTTTATTAGGAAATTTTCACACATAAAAGCAGAGAAAATAGAACAGTAATCTCTCCTGGAACTAGTACTCGTGTTCCGCTGTTATCAGATTTGGCATAGTTGTTTCTTCTTTTTCTTTTCTTTTTTTTTAACATATTTTTAGTTGTAGATGGGCACAATGCCTTTATTTATTTAATTATTTTTTAAAACTTTTTTAAAAAATATTTTTTATTATTTTTTTTTTAGTTTTAGGTGGACATAATATCTTTATTTTATTTGTATGTGGTGCTGAGAATCGAACCGACTGCCTCATGCATGCTAGGCGAGCGCGCTACCACTTGAGTCACATTCCCAGCCCCGATTTATTTATTTTTAATCGCAGCTGAAGTTTGAACCCAGTGCTTCACACGAGCCAGGCAAGCGCTTCTATCACTGAGCTACAGCCCCTGCCCTGTTTCTTCTTTTTCTTTCTTTCTCCCCCAACATTTTTTTTTTGTTGTTGTTGTTAGGGATCAAACCCCGAGCCTTGTGTCTGAGGAATACATGTTACACACTGAGCTGAACCCCTGGCCCCAGCATTCATTAATTTCTTTTAATATTTTTTTAGTTGTAGATGGACACACACCTTTATTTTATTTATTTATTTTTATGTGGTGCTGAGGATCAAACCCAGGGCCTCACATGTGAGAGGCAAGCGCTCTACCACTGAGCCACAACCCCAGCCCTCATTAATTTCTTAATGTAATCAAATACCCAGTTCCATATTAAAATAGTTATCCCATGGGGCTGGGATTGTGGCTCAGTGGTAGAGCGCTTGTCTAGCACATGCGAGGCCCTGGGTTCGATCCTCAGCACCACATAAAAATAAAATAAATACAATAAAGATATTGTGTCCAGTTACAACTAAAAAATAAATATTAAAAAAATATTTTAAAAATAAATTAATCAATTAAATAAAATAGTTATCCCAAAATAGCATTCCACAGTTTTTTGCTTTGTTTTGTTAAATTAGTATCCAAGCTGGGTATAGTGGAACTGTAATCACAGCAACTCTGGAGGCTGAGGCAGGAGGATCACAAGTTCAAGGCCAGCCTCAGCAACTTAGTGAGACCCTGTCTCAAAATAAAAATAAAAGGGGGTGTGTGATGCTGGCACACAGCTCAGTGGTAGATGCCCTTGGGTTCAATCCCTGCTGCTGGGGAAAAAAAAGAAAAAGAAAGAAAGAAAATGCTGGATCCAAACATAGCATTTGCTAGAGTCTTGTTCTCTTTGTGAACAGTCTCCTGTACTCTCATGTTTATTTTTATGCCATTAACTTACTGGAGAAATCAGTATCATTTCCCATTGATTTCTTATTAAAAAAGAAATTAATGAATGCTGGGGCCAGGGGTTCAGCCCGTGTGTAACATGTATTCCTCAAATTATAGGAAGGGTTATTGGTTCTAATTATAGGAAGAGAAAGGGGTTGGGGACAGGAAGGCCGCAGGTGGCACTGCCCCCTCTGACTTTCTGTCCACTTCTTCTTCCCCTGTAACAGGCTCTCGGCCACAAATATGGTGGACACAGCAGCCATGTGACGAATGTGGCCTTCTTGTGGGATGACAGCGTAGCCCTAACCACAGGGGGCAAGGACACCAGCGTGCTGCAGTGGCGGGTGGTGTGAACCCGGGGTCCCAGGGACATGGGGCCGGGGTAGAATCAGGTGGCAGGGCTGGGACTCTAATTTTCGGGAGATGTCTATTGCCGAGTAGAATAATATATACCCAGAGTTCGTCTATAGCAGAGGGGGTTATGGGGGCGGGGGGTGAACTGACAGAAGTCTCTATTTATCGGGGTGGGAAGAGGGGTCACAGTGCTTTGCCGCCATTGGTGTTTGGTTTGAGGTGTTTTTTTAAGTTTATTCTTTTATATCATCCAAAAATAAAGATACATGCACTGAGCCATGGTGTGTCGGTCTATGTATCTGATGTGCGCATAAATTGTCATGAGTGTGTGTGGGTATTTATTGCACCGTGTGAGTGAAGGACTGTTATTATTTCGGCCTGTATTGGATACAAATGGCAGAAGTCATCTTGCTCTGTCTTGGGCCAAGAAAGAACATGGTTGGCCTACATAGCCAAATAAGGAAGGGCAAGCGTGCCTCTAGATTTCAGAGTGATCAAGTCAGCATTTATCTTTGGGACCAGCATTCTCTCCACAACAGAAACATGGCCCCCAGTAGCTTCTAAGCTGAGATCAACCAGCTTTGAGCCCCAAGTCCAAACTTTCCACAGAGCTACTGTAATGGGCTCATCTAAAGGTCAGTCAATATGGCCCCCAGAGTGGTCTACTGTGAAGGGTTCCTGTTGGGGAAAGAACCAGCCCTGGACGGCTGTAATCATTAGCTTCATCACTGAGCTACACCTACAGCTTCTAGATTTTCTTTACTCAATTTTTTATTTTTTCGTTTTATTTTTGTGTGGACTGGGGGCTTCACTCATGCTAGGCAAATGCTCTACCACTAAACTGCTTTCCCAGCCAAAGTTTTAATTTTTTTTCCCTCAATACTGAGGTTTGGGGTTGGGGGGCTCTACCACCATTGAAGTACAATCCCAAGCCCCTTTTTAAAAAATTTCTTCTTGTTGGTTGTGGTGCTGGAGATTGAACCCAGGGCCTCAGGCATACAAGACAAGCACTCTATTAACTGAGCTATATCCCTAGCTCCCTTTTGAGATTTTGAAACAGGAAGCCAGGTGTGGTGGTACATGTCTGTAATCCGTAGCTGGAGAGGCTGAGGCTAGAGGATCGAGAGTTCAAAGCCAACTTCAGCAAATTAGCAAGGCACTTAGCCACTCAGTAGATCGGGTCTCTAAAATAAAATAAAATACAAAAAGGTCTGGAGATGTGGCTCAGTGGTTAAGCAACCCTGGGTTCAATCCCTGGTACCAAAGAAAAATATTTTTTTGGAAACAGGATCTACATAGCAGAGGCTGTCCAGGAGGAATTCCCCATCCTCCTGTCTCAGCCACCAGAGTTGCTGGAATTGTAGGTGTGCCACCATTACTTTAACTTTAGCATTACTTTAACTTTCTTTCTTTCTTTTTTTTTTTTTTTTTTTTTGATAACAGGGATTGAATCCAGGGGCACTTAACCACTGAGCAACACCCCCCAAACCCTTTTGTTTATTTTCAGACAGATCCTCACTGGGTCACTAACAGTCTTGCTAAATTGCTGAGGCTGGCTTTGAACTTGGGATCCTCCCACCTCAGCCCCCAAAGCCGCTGGGATTACAGGCGTGGGCCACTGGGCCCAGCTCCCACTTTAACTTTCTATTGCTGTTGGGCACATATGATGAGAAGGGCACACCTCATGTGTGTAGAGTCTGCTGAATTTTTACTAACTTAGCACATAATGCCCTGGCTCCCAGATGGAAATACAACACCCCCAGCTCCCCCAGAAGTCCTTTTGTACCCCCTCCTAGTAATTACCCCTCTCCCCCATAATGCTAGCCTGCTACCCTGCCTATTCACACCATAGAATAGTTTAAAACACTTTCTATTCATTCATTTATTTAAAAAAATTTTTTTTTCAGTGCTGGGATAGAACCCAGGGCCTGGAGCATGCTAGGCAAGCCCTTGCCACTTAGCCACATCCCCAGCCCCATTTATGTTTTAGAAAATTGAAGTTGGCACCATTCTGCAAAGGGCCAGATAGTAACTATTTTTGCCTTGTCAGCCAACCCAGTCTGTCACCACTAACTGATGTGGTGGGAAACAACTCCAGACTGGATGGGGGATGAGCTGGGCTCCTTCCAGATAAAACTATTTATGGATACTGAAATTTGAATTTCTCATAATTTTCACTTGTCACAAAATAGTAATGTTTAGATTTCTTTGGAATCACTTAAAAATAAAATAAAATTTAAAAATAAAAACAAACTTGTGAGCCATGCAAAACCAGGCCACAGATAGGACCTGGCCCATGGTGGCACTTTGCCTACCTTTGCTTTAAATAGATGGAACCGTTCAGTGTGAACTCTTTGGGGTCCTCCTTCCTTTTTTGAGCAATTTTCTTGAGCTTTTAGGGCCTCCGTTTCCCTGTTTTAGATGGGATTAAAAGGACCTGTGTTGGGCTGGAGCTGTGGCTCAGTGGCAGAGCGCTTGCCTCACCAGTGTGAGGCACTGGGTTTAGTTATCAGCACCACATATAAATAAATGAAGAAAATAAAGGTCCATCAACAACTAAAAAAAATTTTTTTTATAAAAAGTACTTGTGTTAAGTAGTAGCTAGCAATGAGCAGTGAATGCCTCCCAAGGTCACAAGTGTTCCTTAAATTACTTTAGGGTCTTCTTCAAACTACTTCCAAAGTAGACAAGAAAGAGGAGGGTTATAGTTAGTTTGCAGGCCACTAAAGTAACCTCTGACCAGCTACTGACCCCAGCGCCCACGACTTACTTGTAGGTGAAGCGCACCCCTCCCCGCCCTGAGATAGCCACCTTGACAGTTCTGAAGGCGACCAACCAAGGTCAAAAACTCCACCTCCCGAGGTGAAGGAGGAGTTAACACCTGATCAGCAAAGAGTACAGAAGGTGGTCCCCAGCTCTCCTGGTGAACATAAAACAGTAATAAATCTGGGGGCAGCATTGTCTCCTTGGTCATTGTCTGCACAGAGATGGCCCACTCTCTTGAGAGTGTTCTCTCTTGAGCCTCACTTTGCTTATACTTTACTTTCATCTCATTTTCTCTTTACTTTCACTTACAATAAAGTTCTCTTTTGGTGTCTTTCAATTTTCTTTCCTCGGAACACAAGAACCTAGGTTTGCAGTTTCGGCTCCCTGCTTTTCTGTGACACCTGCATTAGGCGCATGCATGTAATCCTAGACTGAGGAGGCTGAGGCAGGAGGATCACAAGTTCAAAGCCAGCCTCAGCCACTCAGGGAGGCCCTAAGCAACTTGGTAAGTCCCTGTCTCAAAACAAAAAAATAAAAAGGGCAGGGAAGGTGGCTCAGCTGTTAAACACCCCTGGGTTCAACCCCTGGTACCCCACCTCTCATTCTCCCAAAAATGTACCGGCCTTGATAAGGGGTCTGGGAAAGTTAAGTGACTTAAATACATGCATTTAGGACTTAAGTACATGCAGGGCGCATAAGAAGCACTCCAAAACTGTTAGCTCCCACAGAGCATGCACCAGCACTGCCTCAAGCCACACGACAGAAATCAAAGCAAGCAGAAGTCGTTTTCCCACAGGGCGTGGGAATCGTCAGGAGGAATCTGATTGGCTCAGCTTTGATCATGTGGCCACCCTTGAACCAATCTCTGTGGCCTGGGTAATGAAGCCATATGATTGGTCAGGCCTGGGTCATGTGCTCACCGTTTTGAGTGGGAGGGTTAGTATAACACCTGGGACTGACAGACACCACCCAAAACTCTTAAAGTGGGCAGAGAAATTCCCCCAAAGGAAAAAGGGTATAAAAACTTGTGAACAGGTGACAGGTTACCAGCCATCTCAGCATATTTGTGTCACTTTGGGTTCAGACTCAATAATGCTTCTGGGCATTTGAAGATCCTTCTTCCCATTATCTATTGTTGCAGAACAAATCCCAGATTTAATAAAATACAACGATCACTCATGGCTCTGTTTAGCCATTCACCACCTACTGAAGGACTCGCGGGTGTCTCCAAGAAAGAGCCCTTGATGATGTCATTCATATGTGAAGGCCACCTGCCAGCAGAGTTCCTTTTAGCTGGAGGAGGTCAGTCTTTGGGCCTTTCAGGCCTTTAGCTGATTGGATGAAGTGGACCCACGTTATTGAGTGTAATCTGGTTCACTGGAAATCCAGCTGATGCAAATGCTAATCTCATCCCCAAAACACCCTCACAGAAGCAACCAGAATAATGTGGAGCCAAATGTCCGAGAACCACCACCCAGCCAAATGAACACCATGGAATTAACTATCATAAGTGGTCTCATGAGCTGGAGGGGTGATGCATGCCTGTAATCCCAGCGACTCAGGAGGCTGAGGCAGGAGGATCTTGAGTTCAAAGCCAGCCTCTGCAACTTAGTGAGGCCCTGTCTCAAAGTAAAAATACAAAGGACTTGGGATGTGGCTCAGCAGTCTAGCACCCCTGGGTTCAATTCCTGATATGTATAAATAATAAATAGAGAGAGAGATAAATAAATAAATATATAAACAAATGGTCTGGGGATGTAGCTCCTGGGTTCACTGCCCTGGGTTCAATCCTCAGTATTGCAAAGGAGGAAAAAGTGGTTTCATGAGGGGCTGGGGTGTAGACCAATGGTAGAACACTTGTCTTGCATGTGAAAGCCCTGGGTTTCATTCCCACCCCTGGAGGAGGAGAAAATGCAAATGGTTTCACAGGGGGATTTAGCTGATAGCCATTGGAACCAACTGGTGCCATCAAGCAGTTGTCTAAGGAGCACCAGAGATCATCTCAGGGATGGTACAAACAGACTTTTTCTTAGTCTTTCTTTTTGAAACCGGGTGCCAAACAATTCTATTTTGTAATGGCCTCCTTGGATTCCTCCAGAGATAAATCCTTGGAGGATATAGATAGGAGGGAACATTAGTGATTAAGGTTGCTGGTCTGAAATAATGATCGACCAGCACATTTAGCTTGCATTTTATTCCTTTCTGTGTGAGCCTCACCCAGTATAATAGCCACCTTTTGAGGAAATAGGAGTGATCCTAAGGTTCCTTCACTTGTCCTTTATTTGTTTATTTATTTGTCATTTTTTTGTGACAGGATCTCACTATGTTACCCAGGTCAGCCTTGAACTCTTGAGCTCAAGTGATCCTCCAGCCTCAGCCTCCCCAATAGCTGGGACCACAGGTGCACATAACCATGCCAGCTTAGGTTGTTCATGTTTTTCTTTTCTTTTCTTTTTTCTTTCTTTCTTTTTTGTTGTACTAGGGATTGAAATCAGGAGCCACACCCC